TATTTCGACTTTCCCGCTTGAAACCGAAAGCACTAAAGACAATAACAAAGCTACATGTTCACAACCGATATGGATTATTTGTCAGTATAGAGCTACTAACAGGTATAGTCAATATATTTCTATCGCCGGTTGGTGGGCTTAACATTTGCAATTTTTTTCGACAAATAAAACAATTTTGGCAGTTTTTTTTCAACCTTGTTTTTTACTTATTCCAATCGGAAGCTCGTCATACTGGACTTGTAACTCCCTTGGCTCTTTCAATGCGACTAAACGTCGAGCTATTTCAAACAGCAAAATCATGTAGGCTTCAATGTTGGCTTGAGGAAAATCGTTATTAAACTTTGCATTGTTCCGAAATAGTTTCTTAATATCCTCCGCGAAGGCTTTAGTATCCTCCTCGTAACGAGCCTGCAAAGCACCATTGATCTCCACGTAATCACGGGGTTTTCGTTTAAAGTTTATCTCTCTCCTCGGGCGTATGAACACAATGCCATTGTCAGGTTGGTGTTCAGTTGGCTTTGCTTTGAGTCGGAACAGCTCCTCTATCTGGTCATCTTCTTTACTCTCGTCAGTGTTAGGCAACTTTAGATGGAAGTTCCTTTTATCCGTATAATTCTCTCTGTCGTTTATAATTCCAACGAGCACGCAATTACCTGATGGGTATCGAAGCCTGTTATATCGTTCAAGTTAATTGGTCTCACATAGCGTTTCATGTTTTTGGGCATTTCGTGCTCCTTCGTCAATAGCTGGCATTTTGGAACGTCGGGTAGTTGGCAGGCAGTAACTTGACATTCGTAAAGATCTGTAGTTGCTCCACCTGAGGCCATGTTGAACGTAGCCTCTTTGCTTCCACTTTGCTTCACGAACTTGTTACAGTTCTGACACGTAAATGTTGTGACGTTTCGTTTTTATGAGGAGTGTGGGCCAATCGCAGAACTACGCGACTAGAAATTGAATATCAGTGACTTAGGTTGTGTACTTGGAATTCACCTAATAAGGCATTCTAGAAGCTCTGAACTGTTCTTTTTGTTAAATTGTTTAGAAGAATTGAACGGTGAGGTTAGAAATAATAACATCGTTTCGTTTCCAGACGAAACCCGGTTTGAATACCGAAGCAAATCCAGGGGATGAATATACCACAAAGAGGAAAACAAAAGAGAAGGTTATTCCATCTTTGTATTCAATGTTGTTCGCTTGATAGCGATATAATAGGCACTTACCACCCGGTTGTTTCCTCCCAGATTCGAGAAAAATGCCATCAAAATTTGACCTTTTTTACTGACGATAAATTCCCGAGGCTTGTAATTAACGACTTTCACGACAACAGGGTCAAAGTAAATACAAGAACTGTCAGACGAGCATTAAAAGAAAAAAACACTTGCTTTTAGCCATAAACATTTTAATTCACACAAATAAAGATTTTATCACACTGGATATGTAAAGAGGAAAAGGAAAACTCTGTCTGAATAAGCATCTTCCATGGGCAATGAAACTCAAGGTTACCTTACTGTAAAGTACTTCTCGAGCAGTCTCCTCCATGTACTAGAAACCGGAAACACTTTCATGCAGGGATATATTCTGAAATGTGGTCTATATCTTAGCAGGTTTTTCTAATTTTTTTCTTTCAGCGGTGAAAACGATCGTGATGTTTTCAACGAGAAACCTTCCAGAGAGGAAATTCTTGCGGCTACTCAGGCAAGTGACGTCTTAGGTGCATGTAGCTCCGATTTTATTTTGAAAATTGTTAGCTTAAATCTTCCAAGTTGAAACATTTCCAATCTGAATGAATCTTCTTAATCCTTAATCATGCTCATCCAATTTTAGTTCATTATTTTTATTTTAATGTTCTTCTAGCTGAAAAAATAATACTTCGCGCTTTTTTACGAGTTCAAAGTAATTCTGCTCGTCGCTAAAAAAACGACGTAAAGAAGAAATAATAGTTTTTCCATCTGATCAACTTCAAAGTCTTTTATTAAAAAGGGCGTTAGTTTTTCACACGGTGGATAGAGCAGTGCATCAGATCTAGTAGATAATATAGTTCGTTTGGTTATCAGTCAACTGCCACCTTAGCTTGTGGAGCAAGCTTACTTTTTGGCCTGTGACTGGGAGTGAAATATTCGATTGAGTATCGTAACCGCCATATTGGATTGGGTAGGTCGAGGAATTCCTCACCCCTACTTAGTTGTCATTCTCACCAGCTCAGCACCGCACCCCTCCTTCACTTCTTCACTCGCTCCAGGCCTCCTCGACCTTATCAATCCACTTTGGCGGCAGCACTCGGTCGCCAGAAGATAAGATGATTTTGGCTGTGTCGAAATTTTTTTACTCTTTTTTGTTTTGGTTAATTTTTTTAATTTTTCCGTGTTATTTTGCGTGCACGAGGAAAAGGTCTAGGAAGAAATTTGCGATTTGCTTCAAAAGCTCTCCTTACAGTTGATTCTAACGGGAATTAAAACTCTTGAAATGTGGTTAAAGAATTGAAAAAGTTTTTAACCCACAAGACTGACGCTCCTTCTTTAGGTCACTTTAGGGGTCTGAAGGAACAAAGAAACTACCTGAACTGGCCACTCTTCACACAACAATGGGCGACATTACATTTCAACTGTTTAGCCAAGAGTAAGTCATATTAATTATATTCTTGTACTAATTTCATAGCAGATAAAAGGAAGGCACACTGTTTTAATATAAGTTTTTGTGAAATTATTCCTCCAAAGATTTAGAGCTGATCTCACATTTCAACTGCTACACAGCTTGTCTTTGATCACCAAAGAGAAACGGTGTGCGCCAATTGGAGCGCGAAAAACGCTCAAATAGCAGCTAATGACCATACTACGTCGACAATGACCCATACTTATACAACAGCATCGCTTGACGAAGATTTGACGGTACAGCATTCGATACAAACTGGTGATCCAGAAGGTAAGAAATGAGTTAACCCTTAAACTCCCATGAGTGACCAAGGCAGAATTTCTCCTTACAATTTCAATACAATATCAACCAGATGAGTGATGAGAATAA